AAAAAAAAAAAAAAAGGTGGGGAGGGGAGACAAAATGTTAGAGCAGCAGCAAATGACCGCCACTGCTGTGTGGACGGGGAGGGAAGGGAAGAGAGAGCTTCCCTGCGGACGTGACATTTACGCTGAGACCGGAGGTGGGGAAGAGGAACTGACCAGGCTGTGAGGTGGGAGAAACAGGGGCTAAATAGCGGAGCCAACACCGGCGAAGGCCGCTAGGTAGGCAGAGCTTCCTGCAAAGACCCACCTGCAGCCGCCAGTCCGGCCAGGGCGAGGCGAGCAGGCCTTGGCAGGCACGTGGGCTCTCGCTTTAAGAACAGGGGCAGCTACTGAAGGCTTTCCCCGTAACACGAGGGCAGAAGTCAACGAACGTCAGGAGGCCTGTGCCGTGGAGGCCCTGCGGGTGCGTGTGAAAAGGTGTCAGGCTGCCGTCTTTCCACACACCGTCTCGGAAACTCACAATTAAAGGGCTTTCAGACCATTTCATTTCCCCCTGATACTAAGTTAAAAACTCAAACGTGACCGAGCTGGTGAGGGCGCTCGCCTGCGATAACCCAGCGCCGTGAAACTCAAAACGTTGTAATTCTAGTACCTCGCTCGTCTTCCTAAGAGCCGGGCAGGGGTGGCATTATTATTAATACTCGAATGAAACACTCGAGACATTATCACTGAATTTAGGGTCACAAAATATCAGGTCAAAAGGGACCTCGGATAATGTGCAGACTCAGTTCATTCCGTCCCCATCCGCTAGCCCTGCCAGCCACTCATCCTCACCGGGGATAAAACACCAAGTCCCGATCGGCCCGGCCTGACGTGTGACCTACTTCCTGACACTCACCCTCCTGCCCTGCACCCCGCCTGCACCGGCTGCTTTGTTGCCCCCGATCAACCACGCGCGCCCCCGACCCTGCGCGGCCTGCCACGTCCGCATCCGGCGGGTGGTCTTCCCGCAGCCGTGCACGCGCCTCCTCCTCATTCGGATCTCTGATCACAGCCGGCTTCCGTGACCACCCCCTGGCTCACCCCGGCACCGCCCTGTCACCGATTCTCAGCGCCTGTGCTGGGGATTACGCTGCTGTCTCTGAGCTCCAGAGTCACCTTCTGCTCCGCTTTGTGACACAGGCTGGGACACTCCGGACCGCACTGCTCCTCCCCTGCCATCTCCTCCTCACCGGCTTCCTTGGCCTCACGCACTTACTTCTCCCCGAAGCAGTGACGTCTCTCTCCTCCCAGGAGAACGTCAGCTTCACAAAAGCAGGGATTTCATCTTTTTCCTTTCTGTTTCCCCAAGACCTAAAACGGTGTCCCGCACACGGTAGCTGAACAGGTAGTTTTGCGCCAGACTCTACTCTCAACGCCTTACGCGTATTTCGTTTACTTATTTTTGATCCTTGCGATTCATCCATTCGTTCACTTTTATACTAAACCCCATTGGCTGGCACTGCGGCAGGGGTCAGGGCTCCAAAGCTGAACAAGGCTTATTTCTGATCCCCGCACAGGGCAGGCACCAGGCCACAGGTACCTGGGGAGGAGGAAGGGGCACGAGAGAGAAACTGCGCTGGATGGTGTTGGTCTGCAAGTGGACAGTGGGGCCCAAGGGGGGAGAGGTCAGTTTGCGCAGGGCGGTGCCAGGCGGGCACGGCGGGGGACACTCCCACAGGGGATGGCGAAAAAGACCTGCTACAAATCCCCAGCCCGCGGGTCAGTGCCCGGATCACCACACGACAGACGGTCTACGCGAGGCTAATCTGAGTGTGGAAGGGAAAACAGGAGTACACCGGGCGGTCCCCACAAACTGAGCGTCCACGCTATGGGGCTCTCGGGGCCTCAAGTCGCTGCAGGGACACGTGCACGGTCGGTGTCTCCACAGTGAATGTAGAGCAATGTCGACACTATTTCTCAAAGAAACACGGACAGTGTTTCGATAAATACACGTTCACTTACAACTGTGCTGAACCTGCAACAGCTACTTCTCCAGCATCGATAGGTTTCCCCCCAAACACAACGACCACACAAATACTCCATCCGCTGTCAGCTGCAGAGGAGCCCTTGGGATACAGAGGTTAGGGCCTGCTGGTGCAGCCACGGGAGGATGTGTTGTTTTTTTTTTTTTATTCTAGAGAAAGAGAGAGCGAGCACACAAGCAGGGGACAGGGTGCAGAGAGAGAGAGAGAGAGAGAGAGAGAGAGAGAGAGAGAGAATCTTAAGCAGGCTCCATGGTCAGCACAGAGCCCGACACGGGGCTCAATCCCACGACCCAGGGATCGTGACCTGAGCCAAGATCAGGAATTAGATCCTCAACCGGCTGAGCCACCCAGGTGCCCAAGGAGGATGTTAAACAGAGGAATCTGCACTTCGTGCAGGGCCCTCTGCGGTGGCTGGCCTGGAGGCAGATGAGAGCAGAACTGGGTGGCCTGGTCATGGCTATGGGAAGACATGAAGAGACCCCAGGCTGAGGCCACGTTGGTGGGGAGGAGGCACAGCAGGTCCGAGAAAGACCGAACAGGCCGAGGACTGACTGGACGTGCAGGGATGCGGCGAAGCCCAGGGCGCCCAGCACAGCAGGCATGGTGGCG